TATCTTCAACTTAATATGAAAAATTAAACCACTCAATTAAAACCCTAGAAATTTAACATAATATACTTCATTCATCTCATGAAGAAACGGATAATTTAGACCTAAAATTAGGGAAAATAAAACTTACCCATTATCATTTCCTTCATCTTCCTTTTCCTTCCTCTTTTTCCCTTTCTTTCCTTCTTCTTCCCCGCCCCCCCACCCCTTTTCTTTTCTCTTTTTTTCTTGGTCTCTTTCTTCTCGGTTTTTGCTCTCTGCCCGTCTCTGTAGTATGTTTAGGTGTGGAAAAATGGGAATTGGGTTTTAAAATGGTAAGGTAGTGGGTTTTTTTGCATAAGAAGTCCTTTAACTTCCAAAGATAGTCAAGTAAGTCCTTATCTTCAAATCCAATCCATCCTGAACCCTCATATATTTTCAATTATAAAATAAATCCCAATTAAATGATTTATTCCAATTGAATCCTTATTTGACCTTGACTTAGACAATTCAATATTAGAATTTGACCTAAAATAAATATGGGTTGTAACATGCAGTGAGTCACCACTAAGCTGAAAATCATCTCAACCACCACTACTCCGCGAGCCAGACGACGTGGCAGAGCAAAAAGTTGTCTTGAACATGTAATTGCATTTTTTGGAACAAAAGTTCAGAAATAATTGATTTTTATGGGTGGTTGTGAAGAGAAAATTTGAGGGTCGGAATTGAGGGATCGATTTTGTGGAAGTTAGGGTTTGCATTTCTAAATTGAGTAAACAGGTGATGTAACATTGATCATCACGAACTCAGGTGTACGCACTTTAACTGCTGAAATTCTTCAACTAATTGTCCGGTTTGATTCTGTTTCTACGACAATATGGCATTTTGGTAAGTAATTATACTTACCAAAATATAGCTGTTATTGGGCCCACACAAGAGATATAAAATCTGAATTTAAATGTTAATGTGAGGATAACGATCATATTTTTCATTTTAATGAGAAAATAAGGTGGCCCAAACAGGGGCTTAATTTAACTCCGTCTAATTCATTACTTAGAACAAAAATGATGTGAGTAGAGATTTTTTCTACAGAATTTTCACCAGAAATTTGAATTTTACTCACATGGGGTGGTGGACCCCATGTGATTAAAAAATTGATTTTTCTACCCACCCACCCTTCCTATTGTTTCTATCCTGTACCCATAGCAGAACTCTACTTAGAATGACCAGAATGGATAACATAACCATCAAAAGCCGATAATTGTCATTTATTTCATTAACGATGTACATATTCTATGTTAGAAACGAGTGATTAGTGATCACTATCATTTACTCATGGTCAAGTCTTTAATTTGATCGATCCAATTGAATTGAATTATCTTAATTGAAATTAAATTAAAATATAGTTATATGATGTAATCAAATTAATGTGGAGTTATCTGATTAAAATTTATTAAAGTGTAATCACTCAATTGAACAAAATTAATGTATAATTAGGGTTAGTTACTTGAATCATCGCTGAACTTTGCATAAAGTTTCCATCGGCTTATTGAACTTTAAAATTTACCTAGTTAATCAGTGAACTTTGTATTTCGTTATTCCATCCATTACTCAGTCAACAAATGATTATAAAATTGTCGAATTTGCTGAGGTGGTGACAAAATTGCTTACGTGGCAATTTACTTCCACTTGATCGTACATGTATGATCGAAAAATGTATTTTTTTTCCTTATTATTTTATGTTGTATTGGATTATATTTTCAAATGTTTATGATTTTTTCACGTTTTAGTTCATTTATATATTGATTGAATTTTTTTAAACATTATTTAATTAAATATTAATAAACAATCTTATTATTGCGGTCATCAGTACATGCCATAGCTGGCTTAATATCCTAGATCCACCCCTGACCAGAAGTCATCACACTGAAACCATACACACTATTCTTACGTAAAAATCGTAGAGACTCAAGAATCACTTAGAAATATTAGAAGAAAGCATCCAACTAAGAGTTGGAGATCACACAGAGAAGACGAAGGAAAGCAAAAGACTAGAGAGATTTCCAGAAGCCACTACAAAAATTAGATGGCACAAGTGAATTAGGGCAACTCGCCAAGTCCTTCTCTATACTCCACACTATCATCATTGATCTCAGTGGATTATCAACAATCCAGAGCAACATACGACTTTGGCATTAATGGAGCAACTAAAGTCGCTTCTCCAAATTATGTTTTTAGCCATATATTGGGTTCGGGTTTAGGCTCCTTCATTTGAATTATCAGGCAATGGATCAACGGTGAAATTGTGCCAAGCCTAACTTATCATCATCGCCCTAAATAAATTGAATTGGCATCACAGTCCAACAAATCTCCGCCTTGATGCCATGATCAAACATTACAATACTTAGCAGAATTAACATGATAATTTCCACAGTATTCACCAGCATCAAATGTTATGTACCTGCAACATAAAATTTACCTGCTATCAATTCTTAACATTTGCACACAAGACTTAAACTTGTTAAGATGAAGTACTTTAGTACCAATGTCAGCATGATTGAATTGGGTAAGAATCTTTTCAAGTGATATAGATTCTTTTATGATTATGTCTCTAATAAAGTGCATTCTAACATCTATGTGCTTAGTTCTTTCAAGAAAAAGTGAATTTTTTTCATAAATGAATGAAACTTTGA